GACCTGGAGCTGTGGTTCTCAGATGTAGCTGTGTACAAGTTAAAATCACCTGAGGAATTTCAACCCAATGCCAGACTCCTAACCTCAGAATTTCTGATTCAGTGAGTCTGGTGTGGGTTTGGGCATAGTTTGTTCTTTTTTTTTTTTTCTGAGACAGAGTCTTAAGCTGTTGCCCTACATAGAGTGCTGTGGTGTCACACCTCACAGCAATCTCCAACTCTTGGGCTTAAGCGAGTCTCTTGCCTCAGCCTCCCAAGTAGCTGGAACTATAGGCACCTGCCACAATGCCCAGCTACTTTTGTTGTTGTTATTGCAGTTGCCATTGTTATTTTAGCTGTCTGGGGCTGGGGTTTGAACGCGCCAGCCTCGGTGTATGTGGCCGGTGCCCTAACCCACTAAGCTATGGGTGCCAGCAGATTTGTTCTTTTTTTTTTGCAGTTTTTGGCTGGGGTCAGGTTTGAACCCACCACCTCCAGCATATGGGGCTGGCACCCTACTCCTTTGAGCCACAGGAGGTAATCCAGAAGACTGGCACGGGCTTGTTCTTTTTAAATACACCCCCAAGTGATTCTCTCAGGCAAGCATGGTTGAAGTCACAGATGCTAGTCCCATTGTAAGGAATTTGGATTTTATTACACTTGTAAATGAAATCTATTTGGAGGTCAAGACATGATCTCATTTACATTAAAAATTTCCCTTTGCCCATAGCATGGAGATTAGACTATAGAAGGGGAAGAGGGAAACACCATTTAGGCGGCTTTTCTCCAGGTGAGAGACGATGGTGGCTGGGGCCAAGGTCGTAGAGGTGGTGAGGATGGGAGGCAGTAGGACTCAGACAGACTTGGCTGAGGGATCAGATAGATGGGACAAGGGAGAGGGAGGAGCTAAGGGTGACTGAGACGGAAATGTGAGAGGAGAGATGTTCAGGAGCTCCTTAGACATCAAATGCAGGTGTGCCAGTTCACACTCAGGGGAGAGGGGAGGGATGGAGATATGTATCTGAAAATATTCAATGTCTAGATGATATTTAGAGCTTAGATCTGAGTGAGATCACTTGTCAAGGCTGTGCAGAAAACAAAGAGAAAGTGGCACAAGAAAAAATCTTCCGCATAGAGGTCAAGCAGATTAAGGGGAGCTTCAAAGTAGGAAGGAAGCCAGATGAATGTGGTGCCATGTAAGCCAAGAGAAGGAAGAGTTTCGAGGACAAGGCAGAGGTCATCTAAGCCATTTATTACTGAAGATTCTGATTGGATTTGATAAGATAGAGGTGATTTATGACCTTATTAAAAGCCATATCAATGCATTCTTACTATACTACTATGACACAGAAAGATACCTGTGTACTAGTTGTCTGCTACTACTATTTGTCGGGGCCTGGGACTGGCCAGGTCATTGTCCAGACACAGACCGCTGTGCTACCTTGCTCGGGATCAACTCCCCTTAGGTGCCAGACTGCAATTCGTCTTAGCAGGAGAGAGAGAGACACAGTTTTCGAAAGAGAGAAACAGTCCTAGTAGGAGAACAAATCTTAGCAGTCTTCTTAGAGCAGGAGAAACAAAAGAGTCAGAGTGAGTGAGTCTGAAAGAACGAACGACCCCAGACTAACCTCTCCTGCAGCTACTTATAGCCGTGATCCCGTGGCTGTTTGTACCATTGCCAAGCATTGTCTGGTCTCACATGCTCCCGTTAACGAGAGCCAGATCTCTTCCCTGTGCCCTTATCACCAAGGTGTCATATTACCAAGATGCTACATCACAGGTGTTTCTTATATTTTCAGAGTGTTCCGAGCTTAACTCTCGCTTCTTCCCATGAGCTATAT